TTTTTTTATTTCAACCATCTTTAAAGAGGGTAACCCTTCCAGTTTAGCCCAGTAGGTTAACTGATATTCAGGGGCCCTCTTTAATAAAATCAAAAAACAGTACAAACAACATCATTACAACATAATAATAACAATAATATAATGTAATATAATATTAGGAACTTGACCCAAGGCGTCAACATGACACGGTCAGTACGTGCTTGCGTGTCTTCTCTACAGTATATTAGAAGACAAATGTTGTATAACATGATCATATCCCTTGATATTATATATAAAAGACATAATAAATTATTTGTATAAAATAATTCTCAGTATCATTTGTCATGCATCCTGCCTTGGGAAATGATTGAAATCACTTTTTTATCTTATTAAAACATTTCCTTTCTTTGCAGCTTGTTACTGAGTGCGGTCAGTGGAGAAGACACGCAAGCACGTACTGACCGTGTCATGTTGACGCCTTGGGTCAAGTTCCTATGGGAATCCTACCGCCAATGTCTGGATCTTTTGCGTAATAACACCAAAGTTGAGCAGCTGTATCATATCATTGCACAGAATGGTAAGAAATTCAGCCTAGTTGAGCTTGTTTGAGATTGTAGGAGTTCTTTAAGCTACCCATCTCAATTCTGCATTGGTCAGTGGAAGCAGTTTGGTGTAGTTGAATGATTTCAGTTTCCCAATCTCGAGGTCTGGGTTTCAATCCTTCACTTGTGGCCTTGAGCAAGGCACTCTCTCTACATTGCTTCAGTCTTCCCAGCTATCAATGGGTACCAACAAATTGCTGGGTGTAACCTGCCGTGGACTAGCATCCAACCCAGGGGAGGTATCACTCTCATCCGTTGCATGCTACAGAACCTGGGTTAAGCTCCAGCCCCTATGAGCCCTGTGGCTTGGCGAAGATTTACTTTACATCTGTTGGTCTGCATGATTTAATAATGATAATATGATTTATATAGCGCCTTTCCAACATGATCAAGGTGCTTCACAAGGACAACTTCACTTAATATCTAAAATTCTTACAAAATAGAATCATAGTGGTAATAGGTAATTGAAATTAAACCAATATAAAAAAATTTACAAAACTACAAAAATATGCGCTACCAACTTGGCTATGAAGACAATTTGGTAAGCTCCAATGGATTTTTCCATTAAGAACTTGTTTTTTTTGTTTTTTTTTTCAAGGTGTTATGTACTATTGAGTTACGTCTTTAGTACAGATTGTACTGTCATTGAAAGTGTCTAGATTAATGTTAAAACCTGTTGTGTATCTAGGAGAAATGGGGGACTGATGGGTGGGAGACCAACAAAAGGTGAAGTGGGGAGGGGCTTGATAATGAGTAAGGGGTTGCAGCTCACAAAACAAGGTGATACACTTCCCTAGATACACCACTGATTAAAGACACTACTGCTACTACTACTACTACTACTACTACTACTATGCTTATATTGACTGAAAATTATCTGTACTTTGTAGCTTTCAAGTTCTGTGCCAAATACAGCAGGAAAACTGAATTTCGCAAGCTGTGCGACAACGTAAGATATTTTTTTTGTTTTTTTAATTTTTTTGTTTTATTGATTTTTGTGCCAAGGGTTGCAATACAAATATATGACCATCTTGGTTTACAAGCTGTGGTCCATTAAGTCGTGTACACGCCACACTGGCAGTCGTCAGCCTAGGCCTATGTAATTTCAGTATTCATAGATTTTTTTCAAGAGTACAAAACATTCTCATTCCTGTGATTTTCTCCCCCCCATAAGTTTACATTGTACATTGTTGATTGTTGTCTCTTTCGAGATTTTCATTAAAATAGTACCCTTATGACCTGTCCAGATTATCAAATTTTTATTTGACAAAAAATGGGAGATGCCTAAATATTGTCATGATGACATCACATCATGAACATATATAGGCACATCATGACTATATATGGGCATGGAACAGTTTTTTTAATCAAAGAAAATTTGATAATATGGACAGAGCATTAATGGATGTTTAGCTTACTCATGAAAATAATGGATGATCCACCTTTACATAATTTTGTTTTTCTTGTCTATTAGGCAAGACTTTTTTATATCCTGTTTAGCCAACCCGCCACCCACCAATAATGTTGATTTCATATAAAAAACCCAAATAACAAAATAGACTTTTCCTTGTATATTATTTATCCGTTGTTGGTTTTATGTGAGGTACTTTCATTGTAAAGATTTAACATTGTTTTTTCTTCTTGTTTAACAGTTGCGTTCTCATTTGGGATTGGTACAAAAGCATCACAATCAGCAGACCGCCATCAATTTGAATAATGAGACGAGCCAGCAACTTAACATGGAAACCAGGCTGATGCAGCTGGAAACCGCCATCAGCATGGAACTCTGGCAGGTGAGCCCTCTTATTGCATTTGCCATAAAATACCATCATGTTAGACTATTAATTACTTAAAATACTAATACTAGTACTTAAAATACCACTAAACCAAAACTATTCAGTACCATGATACCACCAGATTCCACAGCAGTGTCCTGTTAATGACAATGTCAAGTCAATGTCTGCCAAATGTCTTGGAAAGATGGCTACTTGTACCAGTATCACATGACACTAGTTTATCAAGTACCTCTTATATCATTGAATACCACTATAACATAAAGATACCACAAAACCATGAACTATCCGGTACCATGATACCATCAGATTTCACAGTACTATCAAATGACACTAGGTCATCAAGTACTACTAAACCATTAAGATGCCACTAAACCCTCGAAATACCACTAAACCATAAACTGCTCAGTACCATGGTACCATAAGATTCCATAGTACCATCACATGACACTAGTTCATCAATTACCACTAAACCATTAAATACCAATAAACCGTAAAAATACCACTGAACCCTCAAAATAGTACCGTAAATCACCACTAAACCAGTGAAGACCATTTAACCCCTCAAGCACACTGTTGAACCATCATAGACATTTTCAGGCACAGAATTGTTGAGTGTTATCACAAGCACAGATATTTCCACAACTTACTTTGTAATAATATTCCTAAATTGTTGTCATGGGAAGCCTGCAAGGAAGTTGAAGGCACAAACCATCATACCCATTTTCAGAAACAGAATTGTGGAGTGCCATCAGAATCACAGATATTTCCACAACTACTTTGGAATAATGTTACTAAGTTGTTCTTATAGGAAGCCTACAGGGCAGTTGAAGACATAGACCATCATATACCCATTTTCAGAAACAGAATTGTAGAGTGCTATAACAAGCACAGCTATTTCTGCAACTTATTTGAAATAATGTAACCAATTTTGTTCTTATAGGAAGCCTACAAGGCAGTTGAAGACATTCACAGCCTAATGGGTTTGTCCAAGAAACCTCCAAAGCCCCAGATGATGGCAAACTACTATCAGAAACTAGGACTTGTGTTTTGGAAGTCTGGTAATGCGTTATTCCATGCCTGCGCTCTGCACCGTTTGCTGCAGTTGTCCAGGGAACAGCGCAAGAACCTCACCCCAGAGGAAACGCAGAGGTACGATGAGGAAAACTGGTTTTTTTAAGTATTATATTCTGTTGAGTGTAGATTGCAGACTCGAGTGTTAAGTGTTTTGGGTTATCACCTATTATAAATATTATTAGTTTAATTCTTTTTCCATCACTTCTTTTGATAAGAATATTTGTGTACAAAAATGTGTATATAAAATTCTGTGTATCTATCAACCACTTTGCCTACGATGATGTGTAACTAAGTCACGGACATAACACAGCAATCAATGAGGCAGGGTTTTCAATGCAATGAAAAATAACAGCAAATGCAACAACAAACATAATTGTGTGCCCTAGAATTAACAGTGCTACAATGAGTATGAAGTAAAGTTGTTTTTGGATGAGGCAAACCTCCGCACATTTTGTTGTTAGTGCTGAACCAATTAGTTGTGTAGTCAACCAATTACAGATTACCTAAACAAATACGGAATGTCATAATGTCACTTCCGGATATTTACTATTAAAAGTTTCCCAGTTTGTTGGTGGTCATAAATCCCTGTAGGCAAAGCAGGATTAATGTGTACACTCGATGTCCCAAATTCTTCTATATTTAGCTCTATGGGAATTGTAAAACATTACATGACATTGTAATGTGGATTGAAACGAGGATACCATTATGCAAGTTAATCTTCTTTTTTCATCAGGATGGCTTCCCGTGTTCTATTGGCAACCCTGACGATCCCAATTTCTCCACCTCGGAATGACATTGGGAACATGCTGGACATGGGAAACACAGCCATGGAGAACCAACGTAAATTGGCAAATCTCTTGGGATTGCAGAACCCACCAACTAGAGTTCAGCTTATCAAGGATTTGGTAAGGAAATGATGGGTTAGCATATTACATAACTTGTTTATCTGTTTATTGAAAGTTAATTATAAGATTTTTTCTGAAAAATTAATTTCATATAACAAATAAATGATTATTATAAACACCCATGAATATAATATTTATTGATTGCTAGAACCCCTCCCTGGACTCCTGAAAGGACAATAATCACTGAATAGATCATGTTCTATAATTTATATGATCAAAATGAATATTTTGTCACCTTGTTAGAAAGTGGCAGTTGAAATATTCAATCCAGTGGATAATTGCAATTTTACTAAATGAATAAATTCAAAGTTATTTTTAATTTATTATATTTGTAAACATGTGAAACAAAATTTGGAAAAGTTATTGAAATATTCAGAATTTAATTATCAGATGAATAAATAAAAGGGCGAGATACCGCAGTTGTAGGGAATTGGACTTTCCTGCAAGATCAGGGCTTCCATTCTTGCTTGTCTTCTTGGATAAGACTGTTCCTCTGATAACCTCGTCCCTCGAATGGGACGTTTAGCTGTACATACAATGTGCACAAACGTGAACTTGGTAAACTGTTAAAGATGAGTAGAGGATCGTCTTCCGTAATCTCCGACTATAATAAATGTTAACTGCTGCCTTCCTGGGTTCTAAGTGGCCTAAGCCAAATTTCCATCAGCAAGGACTGTATATGTTTACACTTACTGTTTCTAAGCCAACCAGTGTCAAACATATTCTGTAAGTGTAATGCCTTCCATGATGAACACTAAAGCCAGAGATATGACTGAAGCATAGCTTTTAAAGTTTGATTATCTTTCATGTTCTGAGAAGCATACCTCATTATTTATTTATATTAATACAGCCTGAAATGCAACTACCGGATCAGTCGCTCACACTACAGTATATTTTTATTATATTTGATTTAATTTGGAGTTTTTTAATATACAAATTTAAATTTTTCATTTATTGAATGCATATTACATTTGTGTGTTACTTTGGCTTGTTTTAGATCACAGGTTTGCAAAGTCCGGCCCAACGGTGATTTTATTGTGGATCGCAAAAAAATAAATTAAAATCCCTATGTGGCTAGAAAAGCACCTTGTTTTGTACAGCCCAACACCGATCATCTATAAAAAGTAATATTAAAACTGAGCACAAGCAGTTTAAAAGCAGTGCATAAAGGTTTTTGGGAGCATACTCGTTGGTGAATCAAAAATTTGCTTTGGCCCTACAACCCGTTTTTATGTCCATCCCTGTTTTAGATACAATATTTCTTATTATCTTGGATAGGTAAAATACAATGTGGTGCAATTTGTTCACCCACAACTTGCTAACCTGTTCAACTACATGGAGGTACAGTTTCACCCGTTGAAGCTGTGTAACCGTGTTGTCGAGATTTTTGACTACCTGCGCGAAGGCAATGAGGCAGACTTCTTGCAGTATGTGCCGTTCCTGGAGACCAACGCTATCGTTCGCCTTCTGAAGCAAGTTTGTCAAGTATACCAAACGATTCAGTTTAAGCGGCTTTGCACGTTGGTGTCATTCGCAACTCCGTTTCAGCTGGAGAAGATCATAGTGGATACCGCTCGAAATGGTGACGTCTCTGTAAGTGCATGGAGTATATTTTATTTATTTAATTCTTTTTAACTCGACTGTCCATGTTTAAGTGTCAATTGAATTTTAACAATTAATGCTAACACAAAAATAAATCACCTTAAAGCAATTTTCCCAATAAGTGAATAAATGAATGAATGATCTACTTGGAGTGGAGTTTAATAGCTTGGTTGTTAAGATGCTTGACTTCTGTCCGAGGGTCCTGGGTTCAATTCCTGTCAGTTTTGCAGGATTGTTTTCATAACAAAAACAACTCCACTCCCTAAGCCTTGTATTGAGATTTAGTGAGCATTGTGTATGTATGTTTGTCGTGTGAAAGGGATTGTCACACATAGGTAAGACAGTGATATATTCGCTATTGGCATTCCTTGTTGCATGAATGTGCCTAAATAAAAAATAAAATAAACAAATATATGATTAGTATATAACATTTACAGCTTTCCATGATGAACATGAAAGCCAGAGATATGACAAAAGCCTAGTTTTGCATTTGATTATGTTTCACGTTCTGAGAAATAGTCTGTTTTTATCCATTCATCATCTTCAATGCAGATACTGTGTCTGTTACCCAAATATTATATCCAGACAAGTTACATAACAAGATTATGCAATCATAACTCTATTTTCCTCCTCAAGGTCCGCATGGATCATGGCACTCAGTCTTTGAGCTTTGGTAAGGATATGTCCGTGTCCACGACAGAGTCGTCAGAAGGACCAACACTTCAACCGATGCCAGCAGAACAGATCCGCAACCAGCTCACAGAGATGTCGTCAGCTCTCCACAAATCCCTTCAGCTGATAAAGCATCAAGACATTAAGGTATGGCCAAGGCGTATCACAGAATTTGACATTGACACTTAAGTCACTTTGGGAATTTGTGAGGAAGAACCTCTGAAGATTAAATTCCAAACCACAGCTTATCTGTACAGCATTTCAACAATCTAAACCTCGTGTGTGGGTGAAACCAGACTTTAAAAGATGATGATGATGATGATGATGTATTTATATAACTACAAGAAGTTTTGGTTCCTGGTTTCTGGATTCACAAGAATCCATTTAGAATGTGCAACTTTCACACTCCCTGAGCTTGTATTTCAGCTGCGATCCAAGGATCCAACCTACGTACCCAGTTAACACCAGCGTAGCAGGATGTAGTGTAGATAAAGTGACTTGCCAAAGGGCACATTGAAGTGATCAGACTAATTTTTTGTCCACACTATCATGTGCTCTGTGACAGACTTTCTCGTTGTATGGATGAGATCATTTAGTTTATAATGTATAACTATTGTTGATTATACATCATTATTTTGTATCCACAAAAAATGTAGGCTGATCTTCTTGATCAGAAGCAGAAAATCATTCGAAACTATGTGCGCAGTTGTCGGAAAGAGCATGAACTTATTCTGGCACGTCGCCACACCATCGAGGACCGTAAAGAAAAGTTGGAAAGCCTCAGCAATCAGCGAGTAAGTTTGGTATCTTGATCATATTTTGTAATGTCTGATCAGACATACTGTAAAACCTTGAATAGAAGCCCAATATGCTTTATCTTGAGAAGAAACCCATCTCAAATTGAAGGCCCTTCTTTAGTTTACAAAATTACCCTTGAAAAAAAAGCCAATCGAGATAGTACAGTACATACACTGTACAAATAACAATTAAAAACATGCTTAGTTTATACATTTGAGTGATTTAATGCCGGTTTATACACTTCATGATACAGACTGATGTTACAGTGGCCCTATTTATTGTTTTATAGTAGTAATTCCCCAAAATTACAGCATTCATTTTGAAAAGAAGCCCCCCCCCCCACCTTTACTTTGCAAAAGTAGCCTCAAAAAGTAACCCGTCTCGAAAAGAAGCCATCCAAAGTTCGCAAAAAAAAAAAAGTGGTTTTACGGTAACTTAGTAAATCTAGTAATGTAAATAAGCATTTGTTTGACCACAATTAACATCTAAATGTAAGTAGAAGATTATTCAGAAGAAATCTAAATGTTGATTACACAAGTTAAACTTTAATCATTTTTTTAAAGGAAAAACAAGAACAGGAAGCATTTGAAGAGCAGCAGAAAAAGCAACGCACTGCGGAAGAGCAGCGGTTGAAACGAGAAGCTGAAGAGCGTGCACTGAAGAAGAAGAAAGATGAACTGAAGGAGATTCAGAAGAAACAAGCTCAACAACGACTTGATAACTTAAAGCAATCTGCTTTGGGAAAGAAGGTTATTGAGAAACTTAACAAAGAGGTCAGTGATGAACTTATATTACAGGCCTGTAATATTCCGTAGGAGGGTTAACTATTAAAACCACGGCTGCCAAAAGTGGCCTGGTGCCATTCAGAGGAAGAGATCTCCTGTAGCATATAAATTTCGTAATAATTTTAATGGTTTTTGATACAGTTAGTTTGGCTGACCTAAGAAATCCCACTATTTGCATGCCTGTATTAAAAAACGAATTAATATAAATATATTTAAAATTTACTTCATGAATATATCTGGAAAATATCTGAATAAACCACCTATTGCCATTGTTCCCAGACCTAGAACACACATTGACATTAATAAAATCATCCGTATCACTTTGTTGTTTACCATTACCATGCCATGCTATCTTTATTCCTGTTTCTTTCTTGTGACCTTGAAATATTATCATTGATGCTTGTACATTCACTTAGCATATCTATTCAACTAAAACTTCTTACCCCCTCCCCCGCTAACAAAATCATGAGTGGTAATGATGGTCCTATGTTTTCAGAAAGATAGTTGGTGGAACAGTAACAGAAATAATGGATCTCTGTTGAGGCAACTTAGTTCTTTTACATTTTCCCCCACTTTGTAGTAGTGTTGTATATAACTTGTCCTTATTCTCACAATAGGAGCTAGAATCTCTGGATGTTGATGATATTTATGCCAAGCAGATTGAACAGTTGGAGGCAGAGAAGAAAGAGCTGCAGAACCGACTGAAAACACAAGAGAAGAAGGTAAGATAAGCAAGCCTGGAAACAAGCATGCCTTTTAGTTCACAGGTCATGCTGTCAGCAAACATCCCAGAAGTAGAAAATGTTTTTCCGGGGCCTAGGAAAAATAGTAATAAGGTAAAAGCAGGTAGCGTTGTTAGGAGCATAAATAATATGCACAAGCACAGTGATCACTGAGCAACCGATCTCGGCAACCAGCACTTTGATTTATGATATATATATCAAACGCTCTACAACGAGCAGTTTGATTAAAGGGCCATAAAAAGATGATTGACATCACAACCTACTTATAAAGCAATTATAGTCAAGTACTTTCATACACTATAGGAAATAGAAGCCTTAGGAGCCATTATTTCCTTCAAAAATTGTTGCAGGAAATAATGGCTCCTTCTTCTTCCATTTCCTGTAGTGTACTCAAAACCTGACTATAATTGCTTAATATGCCTCCCTACTTCTACCAAGGAGGTATAACGTCCATGCTTCTGTCTGTGACTTTTTTGCACCTTGCGGTGGAGAAGTCCTCCATCCTCCTTTATCGGTTTGCTTTTGATATATTGATGTTCTTTACTTCAGTTGTTGCATCTTCAGAATGTATGAATTGAATCAATTTATTAATTACTTTGAACTTTGAACTTAATAATGAATATATTTTCTCCTGCTCAGGTTGATTACTTTGAACGTGCAAAACGTGAGGTAGAAATACCATTTTTGAAAGAACAGTATGCGGAAAGTCAAGTGAAGGACCGTGAATTGTGGGAACAACAGGAAGAACAAAGAGTATGTAAAAAAAATACATTGATTTAAAATTTGATGATGGTAACAATGATGAAATTGATGATCTAATGATTATCTTGTCAACAACTGATAATGATCTGATAATGATGAACAGTCAAGATAAGCTGATGACAGTAATGATAATGATTATAATTTAAAGTTTTATTTGATTTGATTTGAATTTATTTGGTTCCTATATCCTAACATACAGATAAAATACAGTAACAAAAGATGCAGAAACAATAAATATATTAACATAGAGATAAAAGCCTATAAAAACTGGAGAAAGATATTTTGATTCAAAAACATTAAAATATTAGAACAAATAACATGAAAAACAGAGGAACCAAAGATAGCACTCAAAAGGTGTCCTAAAACAATCTTATTTCAAGAAAGGGTCCTTATAGATGATGGCATTTGATAATAAGTATGATTTATTGTAATGCCTAGCGAGGCGAGTTGGATGGCTGAGCGGTTAAGGCAGGGGCGTTGCAAACTACAGCCGTAATATCGGCGCTGGTTGGAACGGCGCACTCGCCTATGCATTTGATGGTGGAACAAGTTTGATAAGGATTATAAACCGTAGGCCCAGTGTACACAATTTGGCTCGTGTGTACTTAAAAGAACCCAGTACATTGTTCGTGACGAGTAAGGGGTTACCCCGGTGTATTGGTTGATATATCCCCTGTTGGGGACAGACAATAGTAGCTGATTCTGGTTTACCAGGTAGCTCAGACATAAAGAGACCCTTAGGGGAGAAGCAAGTTACTGTCCGAGCTAGTCCACACCTCAAGCACTTTAAGACTTCTATATGAAGTACTATGTAAATCTAAACTACATTACATTACAGGACTAACACACAAAAATATTAAAAAAAAAATATATAGATACCTGGTCTGACACAGTAGTTTGTATTACAAGTAAAGTTGACATGAATATTTTCACTGAATTCTAGATCACTTTGATCCAAGAAGAGCATAGGCAGGCTGAAGAAAGCTGGACAAGGCTCTCCAGGATGGCGAAAGACCGTGATGAATTCCTGGGCAAGCTAAAGCAAGCACGTGCCTCGGTCTACAAAGTAAGCAGCTTTTCACTTGTATGTTTATTTCTTGTAGATAGCAGTTTAGCTCAGTCGGCCAAACATGTGGTAGCCACTGTCAACGACTAAACTGTGGAGATCTCATGGTCCCCAGTTCAATTCCCAATTGTGTTTCAGCTAGAGGGCTGAAATGGAAGTTTCAATAGCACACTGTCTGTCAGGTGAAAAGTTTTATCCAATGGTGTGCAATATGGCTAATATGCTCGTTAAAGAACGCAGTACACTCTTTGGAAAAGAGTAGGAGATTGTATCCCGGTGTTCGTGGGTTATCCTAGGTGCATACACCGAATAAATCCAACCCAGACTACACCTGTTCGGCTTCAGTGTTTTTTGTGTCTTTTATTTTTGTATTCACTTGAATTTTGGAAAGTAAAAGAAAAAAGAAAAGAAAAATAATGGATCACCCTAAATGCCTCAGAGGTTATTTTCAGGCATCTATAAAAAATTTGCGGGGCATGCCCTCAGACCCCTAGGGTAGTGCTGTCTCGATTGGCCCAAATTTCGCGGGGCCCCCTCCCTTTTTGGGTATCTCTAGATCTGCCAGTGCAGGAAGTAGCACTTGTTCATAATGGGCCTAGCACTTGTTCATAATTGGGCCTTTCTCCTAAGCCTCGCCCATTGGATATTGTTGCTGGGGTCCCACAAAACAACTATAACCTTGTTCTCACTAGAGCCCTAGTATCCGGATCGGGAGCTAACCCTTAGCGCTAACCGTCAGCAGTATCCGAATACCGCTAACGGTTATCAAGCGCTTTCGGTTAGCGAGTTGAGCACATTTCTATCATCAACCAATCACACGTACGCGTTTACAATTTCCAGTTTCTTATTGGCCAGTAATTCGATCACCATATTTTTGGTATCCGGATCGGGATTTTCTCGTATGGACACATGGCAACTAACGGTTAGCAAGATCCGGAGCCTGCTAACCGTTGGCAGCCAAAGTAAAGTTATGGGACAGCATGTATTTTTTTGCCCAGCTCTGCTTGATTTTTGCCCAGCTCTGCTTGATCAGTTGTTAAGATTTGATTGACACTCCAGGTCCATTGTATATATAGATTGTCTTTTATATTATATGTCGAGAAACAATCTTGTTCAACAGAACTGATCAAAAGTTGCATTTTGATTAGATTTGAAGTACTGTCTTTATAGATGGTATGGTATTTTTTACATATTTACTGATATTTTTTTAGGAGAAGCTGAAAAAATTTGAAGAAATGCTATCAGAAGAGCGTAAAGTACGTTTGATGGAGCGTAAGCAGCATCGTAAAGAGGAGCGCCGTGCCAAATGGCTGAAGGAGAAAGAGGAAGAAGAGCAACGTCTTCGTGATGAAGAAGCTAAACGAAGTATGTGAATGACAATTGTCGTCCTGCATATTCTTGGAAATATTTTAGTGGTTGAGTCAATTGTTTAAGTGCTTTTCTTCTCATTGTAGATTTTTTTTGCTTTATTACTGGGAAAGTTTTTTTTTTCTCAGTACCAATACAGTTTACAAGATTTTTTTAAAATTCTTGCCATAAGCCTCTTTCACATCTATTTATTTTATAATCGTTAGTAGGCGAATTCAAGGGGCCGAGCCAACCCAGGCCCCTTATTTTTTTTCAAAATTATAGAAAAAAAAAATGAACAACAAAAGAAAATTTTATTCATAAGTAAATATAAAAGTGCCATTTCCGCCCACCTTGAGGTGCCAGTGGCCATCATTAATTTCTGGTGTTGACTATAAATACTGTGTTCGGGAAAATCTTCACTCCTTTCTTTTTCAATTTACACAGAGCGAGAGCTTGAGCGCGAAGAACAAGAGAAGGAAGAGGAGGAATATCGAAAAAAGTTGGCCAAACTCCAGGAACAAGATCAAATAAGACGTGCACGGTAAGACGATTTTTGTATTGTTGCCACGCATTGTTGTGACTAGGTTAATTGTTAAGGCAGTGGTTCCCACAGTCTGCCCAGTGCTTCACAGATGCGGTATTGTGAAGAATATCATTGGCTACTAATGTAGGGTACATTCTCCAAACTTCAGTCGACATTATGTGCACAGAATAATAGGTGCTTGCACACAATAGCAGTAAGAAAGTGTATGTCTACAATGACGTTCTACTACTACCTTTGGTATGCGCAGTTACAGACCGCATTGCTTAATGCTAAATAATGCAATGTTAAAGTGTCAGAAGTTCATATGAAATATTGAATGATCAAAAGGATCACAATGCTCAATTAGTCAGGCCTATTATTTCTGTTTGTATATTATGTGTATAAATTACATGCAAGCTACAGGAAAATTGAGCTGAGGAAATGACTCCAGTTTAAAATTTAAATTTTTTTATTTACATTTGTAATTAAAATGAATGTCTTTGAATTTTGTAGTGAAAAGGAAATTGAGGAAAGAGAGGAGAGGGAAAGGATGTCTATGGGAAACCGACGTTATGACCCACCATCACAGGGTGACGATAAACCTTGGAAGCGTGGCGAAGCAGATGCTGAGGACTCAAATAGGTAAGTCAACACTTACTCTACATTGCTTTGTGAATTAGCCACACATTGATAACAATTTAAATTTAAAATATAATTTTATTTTGGCTTGTTGGCGCAACTGCCACTATGGATCATGTAGATTTTATGAAAAAATAAGCAGCAACCTTATTATTCCCCCACTATAATAGTATATAAAATTTTTAACTTTATAATTTGTTAAGCTCTATGTTTAATAGTATGGCCTTTACTGTCTGTCCAAGATGGGTTTCATTAGTCCACTATCATCATCAGTTACACACAGGCAATCTCTCACATATATTAGGGATAACAAATATTAAATGCTTTGAATGCCAGGTAATCAGTATATAATTGTTGTGCCTAAATGCAGTGTTTTTTGTATGTATAGGAACATGGCATGGCGCCCAAAACAAAGAGAAGGAGGTGGCGGCTGGAGAGAGCGAGTTAAAGCCAAGGAAGATTCTTGGAAAGGGGAAAATTACGATGAAGAAAGTGAATCAAGATCAAGCTGGCGTAGAGATGGAGATGACCATCAAAGAGATGGAGAACCACCAAGAAGAGATGAACATGATAGAGATGAACGGGGTGGTCGTAGGGATGAAGATGATGGAGGAAGCTGGAGAAGAGGTGGAGAACCTCCAGAACGTTATGGAGGTAGAGATGATGGGCCCAGTCGCGGAGGTGGATGGAGAGATAGGCCAAGAGATTACGGACCACGAGGTGGGGATAGGTATGAAGACAGAGGACCACGAGGTGGTGATCGATATGATGACCGTGGGCCACGAGGTGGTGATCGATACGATGACCGTGGACCACGAGGTGGTGGTCGGTACGACGACCGAGGGCCACGAGGTGGTGACCGGTACGATGACAGAGGACCACGAGGTGGTGACCGGTATGACGACAGAGGACCACGTCGTATCCCAATGCGCGATGATAGAGGACCGGATGACCGTGGATCTCGCGATGTTTGGCGTAGGAGAGATGACCCACCACCGAGAGGTGATGGGTTTAGAAGTGACAGAGGCCCACCTAGGGATGATCATGGTCCACCGCCTAGAGAGGATCGTGACCGTTGGCGAAGGAGCGATGGTCCTCGCGATGGTCCACGTGATGAGTGGAAAAGAGACCGATATAACAGAGATGAACCTCCAGCTGAAAAAGGTCCATGGAGACGAGGTGGTGCACGTGAACCATTAGACCCACCAAGAGACAAGTGGAGAGGGCGAGACGAGGGTCCACCCCTTGAGAAAAAACGTGTAGATGATAATGGTGGACAAGATGATGATGGTTGGACTACAGTATCACGTTAAAACAAAATGTCACAAATTAAAATAAATGCACTCTATATTTAAATCTGTTAGATGTAATATCAAAATACTACTAACACAGAATTAAGCTGCACTGTAAATCTTTGAATAAGCGCTGCACCAACCGTGAGTTGTTTCACTAAGCGCTGCTCTTATGCGAGTGAATATAGCCCTGTGTGTAATGAAACACTTAGAGAAACAGGATAGTAAATCCAATGTATACAGCGTTCAAATAAACACAATGAAAATACACTACTAGCATAATATCTTTATAAACATTTATTTAAGATGATGTAGGGCCTGTGAGGCTTACCAAACTAAAGGAATACGCGAGATAGGTAACAATAAGCGCCGCACCGAAGCCTCCAAGAATTTTATAAGTGCCGCAGTGCTTATTGGAGGATTTACATTAATCTTGAAAATATTAGTATACAGTATATGGATTACGCTACTAAACTTAGTATAAATTTTAGTTTTGTTTTTTTTTTTCTAATCCTACATATCAAATGTTATACACATATGGAAGCCTGTTTTTAATGGCTGTGGATATATTTATATTTTGCCAAAACAGATGAAGAAAGCATCAAAGCAATATGCACATGCATACATCTACATGTATTGAGCTTCACTCGTTTAAGCATGGTTTCCTTAAAATCGGGAAGGCCCTCCGACTTGATCAACCAATCAGCATCACCAAAAGCTGTCGGTGATAGCCTATAGCGATTGTATGGAAACCAAGCTTCAAAAGGTTTGATTTCATTCCTTCAAAATAAAGTTCTGTGGCCTACTACTAGCAGTAGTAAGAGTACTGTAGTAGAATCTGGCTTATCTTAGTACATTGTGGAGATTAAATTGTTCTTGGGAACTACCGAATTGCACAAATGGGAAAAATTAAGAAAATGACAAGCTGAGGGTGTACCTATGTGCAATTCAGTGTGATGAAAACATATTACATACTGTATTTCATTGCCTGTTTACAGCTACTTAAATTACATCAGCTAGCAGCACAATAATATCGTGATTAATGAAACTCTCAATCAATTTATTTCTTTAAAAACTAAAAAAAAAAAACTGCCGGAGATTTTATCATTAAAGATATACTGTCTGATTTAAGGTAATGAATAAAATTCTGATACATTGATTTGTATATGTAAGTACTTTTCAATTGCAAACTGGGGGAAAAATTTTATTATCAGACGACACATAATACCATTTTTTCTTTGCATAGATTCTCAAATTGGATGGTAATTGACTGAAGATTTTTGTAGTAAAATGTGCTAATCAGTGAAAACAACTGTCTGGATAAATGGAGAACTGAAATTTTTGAGATTTTTCCTGATTTCACTCATATGCAACAAATTCATTTTAGTTGGATAGTATCTAACATTTGATAAATTATATATATTCGTGCAAAATTGATACTCATTAAGGTGCTTATAATATGTGCTATTGATTTATTAATTTCTCTTTCAATTATTCTTTAATTATAAAATAAATTTCTGTAGCCAATTATGGGTTCCTTACATGCAAAATCATGGAAGTACCTGAGAAAGTCTTATAAAACCCATGTCAATTGTAGAAGTATTATGCCAAGTACCTATAACACTGCCTATATTGATTTGACTTTTTGTTTGCATAATTTTAAGGTGCACAATTGCCATGTTTTGGGTGATTCCCATAAAATGAAAATTTAATATTTTTCACTGGCACATTATTTTTCAATTCATGCACACAATATTTAAACTTGTTATTGTCACAAACTCCATCCAACAATATCTCGCTACTAGTGTGAAATAATGTATTGGTGTACTCGGTATTACAATTAAAGTACTGATGAAAGGTATTTCAAATTTCACTCCTTTTTTTGTTCTACGTGTATTGACGTATTTAACCTCAAGGCTGAAAAGCAGCCGCTGCGCAAATATGCTCCAAAGATCCCAATATTGAATATGCGATCTTGTCCAAAATAGCCTTAATATTTCAACAAATAAAGGCGAGTCAAATGGCCGAGCGGTTAGCAGGGGCGCTGCTGGTTAGAACGACACGCTCGCCTATGGTTCTGGGGTGGTAGATCAAGTCTTCTCGGATAAGGGCTATAAACTGTAGGCCCAGTGTGCACTATAAAGAGGATACCCCAGTGTACTGGAACAGATAGCCCTTGTGGTGTATGACAAGAGTTGCTGGTACCGGGTAGCACCGACACGAAGGGACCCTTAGGGGTGAAGAAAGTCTATGATCGTGTTCCTAGTCCACATATCAAGCGCCCTGAGCATCTTATGTTAGATGGATAAAACTACACTATTATTAAAAGAACACACAAGATAACAGTACAGTAAGTCCATATATCTTTATTTGACTATGAGAGCTATGCACATAACTGTATTCTGTAATATGCCATTATTTCATTGTAGATCCCACAGATGTTTATATGATGACAATGTGTATAATTATATAATAATTGTTACTTCCCAAATTAGATTGCCATGATGCATTAAATATAAGAGCTTACTGATTCTAGTAGTTTTAGTCTTGTGTATCTGTAACAATTGTAAATGAAAAATAACATGCAGCATCTCCTTGTCCAAAATAATTTTATTGACAGCTAGCTAGCTTTGTTAGACTATAAATAAAAATTTACCTGATCAAACTAGCTAGAGTGTCATAGCCATATAATGTTTTTACCCTCTATCGAACCCCCACCCCTTTACTTCGGATTTTTGGTATATGACAACATGGTAGTTAATATACTGTACATTCAGCTTCCATTGCGTATTTGACACGACATTGCTTTATTATATATGGCAAATAATGCATATTATTCTGGGGACTGGGGCCGGATTTATCAAACTAGAAATCTGCTTAAATTCATCTTAAGTCCATTTTTTCAATATTGATTTAACTCAAAAATTGCTTAAAATTAAAAAGTTGATTTTATTCATGAACCATCTAAGACGACGATTTTTAAGCTAAGATTTTGCTAAGATAGTTCGATAAATCAGCTCAAGATATCTGCTTAGGGACATCCAAACTTTTTTGACTTAAGACATTTGCTAAGCTGAGATTGATAAATCCCGGGCCAGGCCCCTAATTTTTTGGAAATTAAAAGTAAAAAGAGAAACTATATATTACATTCAGATTTTACTCTCGAGAGTCAAAATGGCCAAAAAAATTGTACCTCAGTCCCAAACCATGGGGAAGCTGAGATGGTGCAATTCCCTATATTGTGGTTTCTGGGATCTGACAACTATGACTGGTTAGGAAAGAATTTACTGTCAAGGTGCCTTTGCGACACCTACAAGAGCAGGACGTATTGTTCTATCATGTAATCTGTAACCAACTTTGGTTACTACAGCTACAGTTCCAGGTTCCTTCCCCTCAACAACAGATTCAAATAATGCCTCGTGTTGGTTTGGGTCAAATTTCTCGCCTACAGGATCAATTTTAAAGAGCTTGTTTCTTGAAAAAACCTGAAAATTTAATAGAAATTGTGTCATAAACTGGTGACAAAATAAGTTTTTATGTCGCCCAAACAAACGCGCAAAATGCTACCATCTGTCGTTCATTCAAAATATTCAAGGTTTTTACAGTATACAGGTAAGAAAAACAACACTGAATAGGGTATTAAATTACCTTTTGTAATTGAGTTTCTGTCATGGTAACACCCTGAAAAAGATCCTTCAAGTGTGGATTTGAGTTTATTTTTTCTTTAGGTACACTCTCTGTAGCCTTTGTCAAGATATCTGCAACCTCTAATAAATCTTTGCAGAAATCTTGAATGGAGAATCGTCTGCTATCGTCAAGCTGTTTCTGATACCTTGTTCGAGTATTTTCAACTTCTGCAAGTGCTCTACGATACTTATCCTGTAAATTAAGAAACTATGATTTAATTGACTTGTAGGTTGTTGCAACCTAGAATAAAAGTGCATAATAGGGAAGTTATCATACAATGGTTAAAGCTATAAGAGACACACATAGTTATAATGAAAATCATACAGTATATTAAATTCGTTACTGTATTTGACTGACTACCAATCAAGATAAAATGGCTTTCTGAACTGAATGCAAAATATAATTAAATTTCTGCATTTGTTTGTTTTAATTTCATGCTCTGCTCATAGTACAAAGGAACTCATTTAACAGGAAATTACAGGAAAAATCTACTTTAAAAAAAAACCATTCAAAAAGGCAAAGGGCAACATCAAAAAGGTAAAAAAAACCATACAGTTCACAAAACTAAAGGAAAAAAAAGGCACCATCAAAATACAGTAAGAAAAAAATCACCAAATCAAACAAGGAATCGCATTAAAAGCCAGAAAAAAATACTAATAAGGTAATAAGTATTAAAACTGGTAAAAAGATATGTAAATAATTGCAAAGTTTCCAGCAGATTTTTAGTTACTACAAAGATTAACAAGGCTTGGGCATATGGGTTGGTGGGTTGGGAGATTGTGTACTCTGATTTTTAAACCTGATAATTAAAATAAAAATGATGGGGATGCTTCCAATGACTGAAGATGTTTTTATCATTTTTTTTGCTGTAAAATTATGGGTGGACATTTTTTGAGCACAATAGTTTCTGTGTTCGGGTTGATGGTTTTTAAGTTGCTTTGGGATAGGCCGATTGATTTCGGAAGTGTTTTTTTTTTGTTTTTTTTAGGGTGTTTTACCATGGTCAACTGTTGTTTTTTGTCTTTGTTTTCTGTGTGCTTTTATGATTTTTTTTTCTGCTTTTTGAAATAAAAAAAATTCTATCAGTCTGTCAGGATACTTTTTTCATTTTAGGCCTAGCCGTTTTCCCCACAAAATTTACAAAAAGAATGTGTCTATAGTAATAATATACGAAGAATCATATTACCATTGTGTCTTTCAGATCATTTTCAAGCTTAGCTTTTTCTTCTGCTAACTTCTTCTCATTCTCACTTAACTCTGGCTTTGTGTTGTCCTCTTTTTGTACTGTTTCTGCAGGTTTCTCTTCATGAGCCTCAGATGATAAGCTCTGTATCCTGTTGAGAAAAGAACATCGAATTCAATCATGCCTTATCTATTTTATATTCATCAAATATACTACACATCAGCTCCTCCCAAGGTTAGGCCTATATATGAGAACATATGAGGCATGTTATGGCAAAATGGCTGTTGCAACAATTGAAATTAAAGTTATTATTGGTATTTTCAGATACTTGAGTATGTAATCTTTAAAATGAGGAGTCATTCACTGAAATTGGACATTTCAAGTCTAAGTTATTGGAGAGTAATTTTACAGCACTCTTAGAGTAAAGATAAACATAATTTTTAGTAATTGCATTCCAAAGTTATTTGTGCATATATTGTTTAATAGAATTAACTAAATCACGTTAAATAAACAATTTCTTGACCATTTCCAGAACTAATACTTTGGGACATGATTCATAAGACAATAACTGTTGATTTATACTGAAAAACAAATTTGGATTTTTTGGAAATTTTTTTGAGCTCCCATATTTTATAGCTCATTTACTCAATACTGGCCTGTGCTACAACCATTTCACCATGTCACGCCTCATATAGACATAAAGATGATGAAACAACTTGTTTGTTATTCTGAAACTTGGTCTGCACAAAAAGATAGATTCATTTAATATAAAATTATTTAATGAATAACATTATTTAAGACAATGCTACATAAACCTAGTCTAACATAAACTAAAAATAGACTAAGTCTATTTCTATGGCTTACTTCATTCTAATACATGGTCTGGACAATCATCAATCTTCATATGAAGTTGAATCAAGGATAAAAATATACCTCCTTGGTTGGACCTTGTTGAATCAACCACCCCCAATTATTATGATTGGATGGAATATTCATTTAAAAACATCAAAAAGCTTTCAAAATATTCTTAATCAACGTGTAGACTTTTATTAAGCGAATGTGTCACCCACTTTCGTTGGTTAAAACTTCTGTGTGAAACTCTCACCCACATTTTACTTACCGTTTAGTCGTGTAGGCCTAACCTAGGCCTAGGTCAAAAAAGGGCATCTTGCAAATGAGAAAGACATTGCGTAAGAAAGAATACGCATGCCTACCTAGGCCTAGCCTAACCAATAACGAATTATTTAATTTTTATTATTTTCACAGGAAACGAACGTTTCACCAAATAATAATGAATACTATTTTTACCTGTAAGCGTTTGAGTTTTGAAGGGAAATACGGCAAAACCGGGGTAATAGTATAAGTTTCGTAATTCCGTGCGCGTTCATGGTAGTCGCCATTTTTTAAATATCCCAGCACTCTTTAGTACTTCCTGTACAGCGTATTGATATTTCAAAATATAAATATCTTCCTAAAAAGAACTGGGTACAGTCATATTGAGCTGTAATATTTTGATTACGTGGCCTAATATTTAATTATTCGAAATATGTGTTTAATTTGATTGTATATATATTTCATGCAACAAAATTGTCAAGAATTTGGAATGGTTGGTGAACTATTGTTTGTGCGAATGCATACTATAATTGTTGTGTTGGCCCTAGATACGGAATAAACAGTTGACTGAGTTCTAAGTTTTGTTTGGAGAAATCAGGGTTGCGTTGATTAGGATTTCACAGCATACTGTCTATGAGATAAAAGAGGTAATTTGAGACAACAGATAACTCAATTATGGCAGAGGTAACTTTTATATTGAAATTATCGACATGATGTTTATTTCTACCTTTATGAATAGTTTTAACACAACATTAATCGCCGCTCAGCCTCTAGGCAGGCCTATAGAGCTGGCTAGGCCCTAGGCCTAGCTAAAAAGGGAAGTCAGTGGTTAGCTGTCCAAATCGATAGTGCTGGTGGTGGGCTGAAGAAGACTTAGGCGTAGCTTTTTTAATGTTAAAGCCTAAATATTAGGCCTTGCCATGGTTAGGCGGTAAACTAGTCAGTAATTGAAGGTTAGTTTAAGCCCTGTATAGTAGGTCTATCTAGGCCTACCTAGCCCTAGACTAGGACTAGGCTAGTTATTAAATAATAATTATAAATAGTTAATTAGGCCTAGGCCTATTCTGTTTAATTTTTATTTTATTCCTTTAAAAACCAACAGCAAAGGAAACCGCCACTAACAAGTTTAATAAACAATCTAATATAAAATATAAATACTGTAGTCTACAGTGTAAACAAATTGATATCATATCAATAACAAGTAGGCCTATACCACCGAAATCGTCATTGATAAACTGAAGAGAAAATCAAGAAGAGAATGCATGTATTACTATTAAACAAGGTGCATTCGTTGACAGGATCAATTTAACATGTATTTTTATTTCTTTATAGGAGAAGAAGAATGAAACCCCTGCAAAAGAAAAAGGTGCTATTGAAGATAGTGCCTTTGAGGCACTGGAGAGAGATTTCCAAGATACCTTGGGTGAGTTGATGGGTGATCGTAGCCTGGAGAAGTTTCGTACAGAATATGAAAAGTTACACCGTGCTCTGAAAAAGTCGCATGAAAGTGAAAAGAGGCTGATGCAAAAATGCAGGGAATTGAATGCAGAGATTGTTGCAAATTCGGCTAAAGTGTCCACAGCACTGAAGCTATCCCAAGAAGATCAGACAACAATATCATCTCTAAAAAAGGTATGTATGCATTTGATGATGAAACTACATTTGTTTTTTTTATTATTACAAATATTTCTGAATATCTAGATGTAGGCTAAGAAGTAGGTTGAACTATTAGGCACTAGTTATGCCTATGCAGCTATCTGGTCTGTCCAGCTTTGAGTTTTGTAAAAAGTTTAAAACCTTTAAAAAATTAAACAATTTTGTGATGTTTTAACCTTATTTTGATGCATAATTTTTGTGGATAACATTACAAGGGAATAAAAATATCACACAATCCTAATATTACAGTATTTCTGGAATTATTATGTATTGAATGTTATTGTTAACTTTTCCTTCAGGAAATTGAGAAGGCATGGAAGATGGTGGATGCTTCGCAGGAGAAAGAACAGAGAGCTCGGGAAACTATCCAGTCACTGAAGTTAGAAATCACCAATCTTAGTAAATTAGTAGAGCAGGGAGCAGGCCTCACTATGGGACAGGAACATAGGTATGAGGCCAAACAGAAATAATAACATGTATCGTGTCTGAAAAAATTTGTCCAGACGAAACTTCAAAAACATTTTGCTTGAGTTGGAATGTTTAAAAAGTGGACATTGCACTCACCCCTCCCCCCTCCTACCTTGTTTGTTTCTCTCAGGTATAGCCATCTTGCCATTGTACCTACCTACCTTGATCTAAATTGATATTGAGACTAATAAAATGAATCGATGTTTGCAATACCTGACATGTTATAATACTGAATACTCAGTACGTTCCCAAATGCTTCCAAAAAAATCAAGTGATTCGGGTAGGAATTGAACCCATGACCTCCAGATAACTAGCCTGGTGACTTAACCACTCGATCACTGATCTTGCATTTGTGTCTAGTAATGAATCCAATTCCCAACTTGCAGTGAGTGCTGCAATGCTATTCCGATGGCGTTTATTGCATTGAGAAATAATACTAAAAGATGTTTGCCCTATATGACGAGTTATAGTACTGAATGCTTAGTACATTCCCAAATGCTTGCGAAAAAAATCTCCCAAGCAAGTAATTTGGGTGGGAATCAAACCCACAACCTCCAAATAACTAGCCTGGTGTTGTGAAGTTATAATGACATGTCTTTTTTTTTTAAAAGTGTGAATGAATTACTGAAAGCAAAAGAAGAGCTGACAAAGGAACGAGACGACCAACTTGCAGAGATTGTAAAGCTGAGAGAGCAATTGACAGAAGCTTCTCAAAAACAACAGAAGGCTGAAGAGGACAAGGCTGATGCTGAAAGCAAAATATCAGAGGTAAAATTTATGTTTTGAAAAGTGTTTTTATTTTTTAGTGTATTCAGATCCTAGTAACGGTTAGCGCTAACTGATGGGCGTTCTCACGTGGGTGCTAACGGTTAGCTCCCGATCCGGATAGTGTTATGTTTAAAAGGCACTTTTGGCCTAGTTTTTTTTATTATTATTATTTTTATATCATAAACAAATGTAAGGTAAGACCAGTGGTAACCAATTTACTAGCTAAAATTTGATTAGTGATTGCTAGTCATTAATATCTAATCATTATTTTTTTTTTTTTCATCTTAGTTAACGCAAGACATCCAAGTGCGCAGTAACGAAGCGCAGCGTGAGATGCGTCGCAAAGAAAAGCTGGACCGCGAGTTTAAATCTGCCAAATCAGACCTTGAAGCGAAAGCCAGCGAGATCAAGACCCTGCAACAGCAAGTGGAGCGCTACAAGGGAGACATGGCAAAACTGGAAACTCAATCCAAAGAACAAAAGGTAAAAATAATCTTCATCTATTCTCAACTATCTATTTTCAAGCACAGTATGTTCAAAAACCTCAGTGCAGCTTCAAAATGATGAGGGAGAAATAGCAAATAATTCAGTAGAAGCGTGTTTTACAGCATGTAAGGTGTTGGACTTTCAATCGGCATTATCTGCATTTGCCTCCTTTTCACCGAGTAATATAAATGGGAACGTGGTAGGAAATGAACGATTCGGAATGTGATTCCTAGTGCTGAACTACATGTATGACTAGGAATATTCCCCATGGAGCGGAGGAGGTTGCACGTTGTGTATGAATGATTGTGCATCCAATGACCTGAGAAAAAGCGCCTTGAGATGTTTTCTGGACATGTACGCTATATAAATCCTGTTAAATAAATTAAAAAATATATATATATATTTTCCCATTTACCTATTTAAATTTATATTATTATTATTAAAGAATCTCTATTGAGATCCAGCGGGCCGCCATTGATGCACGGTAGAGATTGCATCTTTAGATCTCCGATCTTGTTCACAAATTCAAGGTCTAGTGTTGTTTGTAAGAATTTTGTAGGACTCGTTAAGAATGACAAAATATTCTCTGTATCTTCGGCAACCGAGCCGCATAGCTTGTATTCCACTATTTGCATTCACTCCTTGACTGTGTATGTATATTGCCTTGGTGTGGCTCTGTAATCATTAGTGGTCGTTTGACTAGTCTAGGCTTTGCCTAAGCTGGTCGAACGATTTGTTTGGGTCTGCAACGATTTGCAACTCATGGATCCGTCTGCAGATATTGGGATTTCTTCCAGTGGATTTTTAGTTTATTTTGTCATTCTGATCGGATTTCCTCTACTGTTCCGTTTTAATTTTTTAAATATCAATTATTTTAATTAAAATTTAAGGATAAATCAATGCAAATAATTATGAATATGTTTATTATAATGATTATAGTTACGGGTGTTTAGCTATCTATTAATTTCACATGTTGGTTTCCTAATTTCTGCAGATATTGTATGAAAGAACTGTAAGAGACACAGATATTTTGAACACACGTTTTACACGCCTCCAGCAAGATTGTGAAACGCAGTTAATCAGCAATGACATTCTAACACAAGAGAATCAACAAAGGGTCGTAGAATTGAAGGTATGCCATTGAAAGTTCCTTAAATTGTTTATTACCACTTTACCGATTTTTTTCTTCTGACTGGTAGAAGGCGTAAACATCCACTAGAGCGTTAGTTAAAATCTCCTAGATGTTTATTTAAATGTTTTCACATTTTGCATATAGTCAAAAGAAGATGAGATAAGTACCTTAAAGAATGACACAGTGCGCTTGAGCAAGATGCGAGAAGCTATTCAGCGTAAGCTACGAACTGTAGAGGACAATAAAGCTGAGGTTGAGCAGCAAAAGGAAACTCTCAAATCGCAAATTGTTGCTCTAGAGCGAGGTAAGCCATTCCATAAATAAGATCTTCAACCTCTGCTAAATTTTAACATCAACAAATCAGTGTATGATTCTATCTATGTGCAATATAAATGAATAACCTTTAACCTTTGTGGTGCATTTGTGGGGCTTGTCATGCCAAAACCAGCATCAGCAACTAAAACAAAAAAAAAATGACTTTTTTATAAACACATGATGATAGGTCATTTACTGGCATTGACTTACTATTGCCAAAGTTATGAGTAAACTTATTATGGCTTTTCTTTATTAAAGTATAAAATACTGCCAGCCACATTCTTATGCTAATTACTAAGTTTTCAACAGTTTTTGAGATGACAAACATCATTTACATGTAGGTTAGAAAGAGATATTGTGGAAAAATCTGAAAAAGAAACCTGTTAAATTAAAATAAAGACTGGCTCATTTACTATATAAGTTATCGTCTTCTAATAAGTTTGATCAAAACAATTTAATTTTCACTGAAGTACATACCTTTATTACTACAAAAATATATAGTTTTACTGCCAAGTAATTTAATGATCTTTCTAACAAACATAGAAATGGTTTTATTCATGCGTTTGTTAGTTGGCGATAAAAATATTTTCTTGTTCTCCAATTAAAAGATAACAATTAAAATACAAATGTTGAATTTTTATTGTTCAAGTTTATTAACTAAAAACAGACAATATATCTAAGCATTCATTTATGTTTTTACAGAGATTGAAACAAGTAAAAAACAATCTGAAATGGATCGCAAAGCCATCGATGATCTTATCCGTGAACGTGACATCCTAAATAAGAACCTTCTAAAAGCTGCTGGTGCCACACAGAAGCAACTGAATCTGGTGAAACTGCATGAACATTCCAAGAAGAACTTGGAACAAGAGATCCAGAACTACAAAGATGAGGCACAAAAACAAAGGAAGATTATTTACCAGCTGGAGAAAGAGAGAGATCGCTACATCAATGAAGCCAGTGATCTGACACAGAAGGTATGCTATTTTAGACTTCAACTGTGAACTTTCTTCTTAATATACTCCTAAATAAGAATTTTTGTTAACCTGAAAGTAACTTCGAATAGCTTAGCTTTAGTCATTTTTAATCATATTTCTCACTGCTTCTACCAGGTTCTCCAGCATATGGAAGATGTCAAGGTTCGTGAGATGCAGATTTTTGACTACAAAAAGAAGATTGCTGAGGCAGAGACAAAGTTGAAGCAGCAGCAGAACTTGTACGAAGCCGTCCGCAGCGACCGCAACCTCTACAGTAAGAACTTGATTGAGTCTCAAGATGAGATAACGGAGATGAAGAGGAAGTTGAAGATCATGAACCATCAGATTGATCAGTTGAAAGAGGAAATCACTGCCAAAGAAGCAGCTCTAGTCAAAGAACATCTGGATCATCAAAGGTAAACACACACAATACGTACTTGGAGAAATACTTACCATGTATTCTAATGGATTCTCTGTAACATGCAGTGCACTCAATCGATAATGATTTTTCATGAATTCATATGATTTTGTAAAGGGTGCACTGAATTTGTTCATCTGTATGAAGCAGTGAATCAGATGATAATGGGTTTATTTATTATGTTGTAGAGAGCACACCAGAATCAGCACTTCTAGTTTCACGAGTCGCAAAGTATGATCGCAGCACTATATTAGTTAAAATCCTTGTGTGACTAGGCTGCAGCCATTACTAACAAGTGGTTCTCTTGTGGCATGCAGCTATGTTAAAAGCCATTCAGAAACAATGCACATTACCATCTCTTGTATTAGCACTCTAGTATTTTCATTTCTCACCACTTAGGGTTGAAAAACAGAAGGAAGCTCTGAAGGCTGAGCTGCAACGAATGAAACAGCAAGCAGCAGAGAGCAGAGCATACATCGAGGCTCAGGAAGCTGAAGAACGTAAACTGCTTAAGATCATATCTGAAGCAGATGCTGAAAGACTGCGACAGAAGAAAGAACTTGATCAGGTTAGTATGACACATGACCACATGTAGTATAGAATGGAAGGATAGCTAACACAGCTGTAACATATTGGAATTTTGGTGCAAAGATTTCAAAACTCAACTCTTTTTGTACATCTGGTTAAGACACATGACTTTATTTACATTAATTTTTGGGTGGGTCCTGTGTCACATATTAGCACAAAAAGAAACTAAGTACATTGTTAAAAACAAATTAATAGTGTAATTGTCTCCCAGTTTACTGACCATGGTACACACTGCGTTACTGTAGCCATTCATATACATTTTATCTCTAGTTTCATTTCCACAGATCTGCCAATGTTTGACAGACAAATTATTTATCTGTTTTTATTCATTATTTCCTTTTTAGGTTATCAGTGAACGTGATATCCTTGGAACTCAGCTTGTGCGTCGTAATGATGAGTTGGCTTTGTTGTACGAGAAGATTAAGATTCAACAATCAACGCTGAACAAAGGAGAGATCCAATATCGCCAACGTCTGGAGGATATCAGACTCCTAAAACTGGAGATAAAGAAGCTACGCCGAGAGAAGAACATACTGAATAAGAGTGTGGCCAATGTTGATGACTTAAGGTATGTGTGAAGTCAGTGAATGAGATATGTAGAACACATACAAGAAAAGAACTCAATGTTTAACAGCAAAACAACATGTACTGTATGTATTATATGTTAAATATTAATATGTGTTAACAATTGATAATATTTTAATGACAGACGTGAAGTGTACCACCTTCAGCGAGAACTGCTTCGTGAGCGTACTCGATGCAAAGCTCTCGAGGAGGAACTTGAGAACCCAATGAACATCCACCGATGGCGCAAGTTGGAGGGAAGTGATCCCAGTACGTATGAAATGATCCAGAAAATCCAAACACTACAGAGGAGGCTGATTCAGAAGACAGAAGAAGTCGTTGAGAAAGAACTCCTCATCCAGGTATGTCAGATAAACACAGGTGCAGGGAAGCTTTGTGTTTTATGTTCATGTTAGTTTAGGTGAAACTTTTTATATACCTTGTTTAGCAAACTTGTTTTTCAAAGATAATCAGAGTGGGGTTGGGGGAAACGCTTGTTTTTTCGTTTTCAAAATGACTGCTAAAGACATCTAAGCCATAAAAAAATAGATAAATAAAAGTAGAATTAAAAATTAATAGGATGGTGCCCTTAAGCCCTAATGGAGATATTGTGTCATTGAAAAGACAAGATGTAAACAGTTCAGTTAACAGTTCTGTAATTTCAATTATTTCAAAATTTCTTATGCCATTTTTTGTCTGATATAGATATTCATGGTATTTTAAATTATTATTTTAGGAGAAAGAAAAGCTGTATGTTGAATTGAAACATATTCTTGCACGACAACCAGGACCAGAAGTAGCAGAGCAGTTACAGATTTACCAACAAACTTTGAAAGAGAAGACCAAGCAATTAAAAGTAAGTCTAATAATATTTTTTACTCACCTCTTACAGGATCGAACAATATATAATGGTTTGCATAACCATACAAAACATATCATTTTTTTTTTTAATCAAAATGCAAGATACAACCTTTGTTATCCTAACACAATAATAATGTATACAAGATTTAACTGGCAGTTTATATGTGTGCAGGATTATTTATTTATTATTATTTTAAGCTTAAACTTAGCGAGTTTTAAATGTTGTTCTCCTCTCCATTTTGTTGTAGGGCATGGCGTCCGAGTTGAACATGTACGAATCCCAAGTCAGTGAATATAAATACGAGATTGAGAGATTAGCACGAGAGCTTCAAGATGTCAAGAAGAAGTATTACATGCAGAAACGCAAAGAACAACAAGCCAAGTATGTATAATACACTTCCAATAATGTTGGTATTATCCTGTCTGGTCCCTTGCACTGAGGACAACAATTGCAGTACTACTGCTGTTTATCTACCACTGGTCTTTGTTTTCTTTACTTCACATATTTTATTATGCTTCCATTTATTTACAACTATACCATAAATTATCTATTAACACCTCGTAAGTACTGCTCTGGAATATGTGCGCACCCAAATACATGTATGAAATTTTTGCTAAGCGCCACTTTTTATAAAGCTCATTATTAGTAGATATACTAACAAATACTGAACCCGTGCGATGTTGTTGGAAGCAGATCCATTGATGTTGAATTTTCTCCTGAATTAGACAATGTTTTGACCCTGTGCCTTGATGTTCTATATATCTTCAATCATTTCTTAAGTGTGCCACGCTTAATACTTTTACTACGTTTAACGTGTTTGCTTTTTATATATTGTTTTTTTAATTGCGTGTTATAATCATAGGTTCAGATTTTTTTATAAATATTTTATATGTTTTGTATTTTAACCTTCCAATGAATTGTTGGCTGCCTAGTATTTCCAATTTGGACACTAAATGAAATTTTGAGTCTTGAATAAAGCATCTCTATCGAATAAGCACTGCACCGAAGCCTCCAAAATTATCCAGTGCCCCTTTTGAGGTCGTACTGTATACAGTATTTTAAAATAGTATTATCTTGCTTGTTGAATACATTTTAGTACTTTCTTGCAATTTTCTGTTGTCAGTCTTTCTCAATTATTATTCTTTTTTTTTCTGTTTATAGGGAACGTGATCGAGTCTTAGCACAAGGCAGCGCTCCTTCCATTCAACCACAGAGGTCTGATGGGCCAAGGTTCACAGGTGGAGGTTTTAACTTAAAGCCACCAGCACAAGTCAAAGCTTCCTGAATATATACCAATTATATGCTTAGTAATGAGTTAATAATAGACACCTTGTCATTTATATCAGCAATGATAATACAAATATATATTGTAATATTTCCAAATAGTTATTCCATGCTGACATATACTTTACCTTGTTCACGTTTTAAATATGAAAATAACATTTCTGTTTGAATAAAATTATTCCACTGATTATAACCTCTACTTTGTGTGTCTCTTTCACTTTAGTTATATAAAATAATGATAATGATGATTATGATGATAACAATGACGATGTAGATGACGATAGTTCTATGATCATATGATGATGGTGACAGGCATTTGTGTACATTTACTTTATCCTTTAGCCTATGCAAGTGCTATTTTCAGCCGTCTGCAAGTCTCAAATTCTTAAAAATTTCTAACCTGAGCCCCAACCGTGGTGGGGCTCAGGTGGATTTGGTAGTTTTTATTCAAGTGTCATTATCGAGCATTTTTTACTTAATTCGGTTTTTTACTTAATTTAATTAAAAAGAGCATTAAAAACAATTTCACCTTTGCGCCCCCCCCATCAACCCCCCCACCCAATTCAAGACTTCTAGATGCGCCACTGATTAAAAAGTAAGTAAGTGTTCAATTTCCGAGCATCCAGAGATACAAAATACTGTGGCGTTGACGTTGATTAGTATAATACGCCTTTATAAGTTGAAGATTGGATTGGATTGAATTTGGGTTATGACTATTTTGAATAGAATATTTTAAGTTATTATTATAATGATCGTTAAGCCTACAAATATTATTTATGATACATCTATTGCAATTTTCATTTTATCTGCAAAACGTTTGTCCACAATCCCTCAAAGATAGTTCTAAAACATTCATAATGCGCTACCTCCCAGGGGGCTCTTGACGGCCCCAGCTGTAGGGAGGAAAACACCCCTCTCAAACACACCCCGCTCGCAAGACGACTCTCCCCTCCCTCTTCAAAATATGGCTACGTCCCAGTTCCATGATCAGTCCAGGGAGATATACCTGGTCAGTGTCAGGTCAGCATGGAGGTAGGTAGGCCTACATGTTTGTACCTTCGTGGTGTCTTACAATCTGTGATCCGTGAAAGGCATAATTAGGGACTATTAAGTAGTGCTTATAATAATCAAAACAAGCACAGCCTGATAACGGAGGTCCCCGCTGGTATCTAAACCGATAATCGGTACGATCACACTAGCCGCCTTTGATACGACACGATTTATAGGCACTATCTTACAAACATGCACTATTTCTGTTTGATGTTTTTGTTTTCCTTATGTTAGTCTTATCAAATCTCAATTACTCTTTCTTTGTATGTAACACCTCATGTATTGTGCCGCTGTTTCTAATCATGTAATCATGTTTATACCACGCAAAAATAATAATGGACCAAAATTGTGTAATGCCATAGAAATGGGGGAGATTGGAAAGTGAATCACCGCCAACTGGGTGAGAGGGGACTTTAATTATTGTAGGCAGTATTTCAGTGTACCGTAATTGTTTTAGGCCTACTCAGAAAATTCGGGAGAAAACTTTTTCTAGGGGCGAGCATTCTATCCTCTTTAGAAAGACATACACCACTGATACATAAACTAATACTGTATACTAACAATTCGAACACCCAAAAATTGTTTACTTATTTTTAGCATTTTATTTCAAGCAACAAACAAAAAATCTTCTTGATGATGCAGGTGTAAAAATGTTCTTGTAAATTTCAAAATCCATTGATAAATGATGAGACATAAATAGACCCGGCCCACCGGGCCTGACCTATAGAGGATAAAATATTCATTAAAATAAAAACAATGAGCAGAAACATGCCTATAATAATTTCAATTTAAGTAAACATAAGTAGGCCCTTTATATTCAATTTTAAAAATTTAGAGGATAAATCGCTGTATATAGTGAATTATTTTAAAGTACAATGAAATGAAAAAAAATGATAGGTCCACGATTAAACCTTCTAAATGTCACGTGAAACATTGCTGTAGCTTATTAAGGTGCCGGAGTGCCTTCCAATCTCAGAGCCCTGGCTCATGTGAAGGATTTCTTCTCATGGCCAAAACAAATCCACCCCCACCCAAATAACCCTCATAACAAGATACAATTTATGTAAGCCTAGAGCATCATGTGTGTATGCGTTATTCCAGTACCGTAATAATACTTAAGATGTAATTATTATTATTTGAAATCCTAGTCTTTGTGCCTAAATAAATATAAAAAATAACGAATATCACGTCAAGGTAATCAATTTAAGAATAATACAAAACAAATTTACTGGAAATTCTAACACTCGACACTGCAAGTCAGTACAGTTACTAAATCAAACCTCTTATTCCTAATCCAACATTTTAAAGATGCAACAGGTTCTTGTCAAGCACATTCAGGCACACTTAGTCCTACTATCAGTGGCGCAGCGACAAGTCGTGGGACCCGGGGTGAAACGTTGGGGCTCAACTTTTAATTTCACACACCCCGGGGGCCCCATTGGTCTGGGGCCCTGGAGCTTCGCCACTGACCACTGACTACTATTGGTTCATGGATAAAATAAATTTTATACATCATGGTTCCGTCAAACAAGTCTTATAAAATGTAGACCTATCGTTCGGGTTACTACTTTTATGCATTGGAAATCACTCGTAAATTAACGATTGAACACAAAGTTAATAAATACATTTTTGGCGTTTCCAGCTTTTCAAAATTTAGTTGGTCTATTCACAAATCTGTTCAAAGCTTGTGTAAATGAAATACAAATATGTCATCGTTTTAAGTAGGCTAAAGTGTTCACGTTAACGATTCTCAGTTGTCGAGGTTTTCTCCAATTATGCTTTGCACACTGAAACTAAGAGGTAATGTCACCTTCGAAGTGTTATCTTGCTTTTTCAGATGTTCAAAGTCGCAATCGGAGTTGTTACGAGGTGCATACTGGTAGTTAAGAGGTGGTACCGGAGTAAAGTTTGACAAATGCCCACCAATTCTGTGATGAGTATGTGATAGAAAATCACCAGATATAGCACATTGTGCGTCCTCTGCGCTGACACGCGTACAACATAAATCCCCTGACATTAGTGGAGATGTTGACAGAATGTCAGAGCGGCCAGCTAGTGCTGTTGGTCGGTTGATATTGTTAGTGTTTGTGTATTTCACAGCAGACGGTGACGATGTGCCAGATGTGTTTGTCGTCAGCGACGTGTTTTCTGACCGACGTTTTCTTTTGCGACGGAAATTACCGTTGTCGAACATTTTCTCACAGTCTGGGTCTAGCGTCCAATAGTTTCCTTTTCCGGGATCTCCGTCGGCTCGTGGAACTTTGACGAAACAGTCATTCAGAGACAAGTTGTGACGTATGGAATTTTGCCAACCGGTTTTACTTTTCTTGTAAAATGGAAAATGTTCAGAAACGAATCGGTAAATTCCACTTAGTGTAATCTTCTTGTCTTTTGCAGACTGGATCGACATGGCGATGAGAGCCGAATACGAATATGGTGGCCGCACAATCTTGTAAAGATCATGGTGACTTGCTGCAAAAGGAAACCAAATATCTGATGGGTTCAGATAAGCAGTACTGGTCAGCGGAATACGGTGGAAGCTAGGATGGCCTGGTGAGTAGAAGTTAGGCCTAGTTGACGAAATATAACCGGCTGGATGATTTAAGCTCAAATCGAAGCCTAGCGACGCAATATAAGGAGATGCGTGCGTTCCGAATCCAGGACTTGCGTCAGTTAATCTTAGTGGAGTAGGATGTGGTATAGATGAGCAATCGATGTTATTGCCACTGCAATAATGGCTGTGTGTCAAAGACGAATACATAATTGCCAAACTCTGAGCAACACTTGCAATATTTAGTCTTCCAGTTGCAGGCACTTTTCTGAAACTTTGCAAATGAATGTAATTATCTGGAGCGTATAAATTTATCGTCTGCATTCACCACCACTTTCTGCAACAGTGGAGTTCAAATTGAATAGTAACCATGTTAAAAGAAGTTAACACCTAGTGACGTCAGAACGTTGACCCACCAATCAGATATAAGTTTACTGCTACGGTTATCAACTTGTTGAGTTTGCAGATAAGATGACCGGTATTCCTTTCAAGCCAGTTTTTTATGTTTATCTTGGATTGTATTTACTTCTTGTTCCACAAACAACACTTATTCGAAGTGTTTAATGTTATCACATATATTCAGTGCTAAATGATTAGTTAATCCTAGAAGTATTAGTGAATAATTTTATCTTTTTGAATAACATTTTAACTTGGACTATGGTAACCAAAATGACAGGCCTACCACACCTACATGTATTGTGAATATGTATTTAATTTTTCGATATTAATTACCTCCTTGATTTAATCCATTTTTTTCAATAATGATTATGATAATGACATCGATGATCCTCAGACTGAGTTTCATTAACACACTCTGTCCGCCCTTCAACGCAGTTTTATTGAAGGCGGTCGTTTCTTTGTGCCTCTGTTGCCCTTTGGAATGACTTAGGCCTACCAACCCAAATTCGACAAGCAACTAATATTAATACATTCCGAAACTAATATTCAAAACACATCTTTTTCATTTATGTTTTGTTTAATTCTGGATGTTTATTTCTAATGTAACGCGTATTGGGGCTTTTAGCAAAATACGCTCGATCAAGATTGAACTATTAGTACATTGTTATTAATTATTCAATTAAATTATGTTAATGAAAATCAACTCGCAGCCCTAAAGCTGAATTGCACGATATACACAGATGTGTATAAGAGACAGTATATATACTTTACAAACCAATACTTACTTTATAGTTACTTGTATTTTATTTACAAAGTGACGTGTATCTTGTTTTTTAAGTCCAATAAAAACGACGACAATGATGACGAAGATTAAAAGGCCTAATAATACTCATGAATGTAAATCGCTCATGACATAGGCCTACTCCATCATCACCAAATAAGACATTTTTTTTTTCTAAATAAACAAAATTTAATTAGTCATGGAGTGCACGTAAAACACGTGCAATGCCAACGTTATACAGTAGTACCATGGAGGAATTATATCTTATCTTTTCTTGTGTATTGAGATCAAAGATTTAAATATGATAATTAGCAAATTATCTTCATACACAAAACAACATATCAAGTGTTAGCCCAATAAATGAACCATGTTCAACTTGGTTTACCCTTTGTTGCTCATGGAGCCGCCTCACCATGGGGTGGTCATTTCTATCTGGGTCACTATTTGAGGTCCTTTTCGACTTGGAATAGTTTTGCCGTGTGTCTGGTACCTTGGAGGATTACGGTTTGATATTTAATGAAACACTGTCTGCCAAAAATGAAATTAATTATTAATCCACATAAACACTTTATACAAATTAGGCAGTTCAAATGGAACTTTTTTTAGCTCATGACAGTGCACCAAGTCCTTGAACGACAAAAAAAAAACTGTTAAGTTGACAATAGAATTGTTTTAATTGTGTTAGTTGATAAAAAGTAGAAAAATAATTATTGTAGGCCAATATGCAGCATATTCTAACCAAGGAAAAATCATGATTGTACAGTAGTTAGTAGCCTAGTCTTGTTCACGACTACGTGTTGTTTACGTCTGCGCTAAACTGTTTACGGGAAAATACAATCCATTATACAAACACGGAGGTATTATTGGTATTTATATGATCTCAATACTAACTCCAAGAAATTTAACTTGAAAGAGAATCAAGTAATTCAAACAAAACAAAGTGACACTATTGTTAACGAGTATACGACTTTCTCAGATCTATTTCCTGCGGAGTGTATGAAAATAAACAAAATTTGTTCTACCAAAAAGAGAACCAAGACTCATGGCTCCATTAAACGTAAACACAGAGTAGGCTTGGTGAAAATTAACCGAATAAAGATCGGTCAAAAGTTAATTTGTCGGATCAATAACAACCAATCAATGCAGTTGACAAACAAATAGTAAAGTAAACTATACGACTCACTCTTCTTTGGTTAAAACTTCTTAGATAGATCACTTACATGGTGGTTCTGAGTACATGACAATATGGCGACAACTACTCAGCCAACCTATACGTTTAGAGGCAAAATGACCAGAGGACTTCTGGTCATGGCAATTTCGCGCCTGATAGCGGACCTTATTGTATGATAAGCTTATATTTGTAGATGATCCCAGCTGAGGCCTATATTACATGGTATCATTTCTGTTATTGATATACTAGCAATTCTAAGGCTCAATTAAATTCGTGTTGAGACGGTATATCAATGACCAGTGACCAAACCGCAAACTTATTGCTAGATTTGAAAATGAGTGATAGATTTTATGGTTGATTAATAGAGGTATCAGAAGCGTAATTACTTACAATATAATTACACCGAAACGGCATCTGATATTATAAATAATCATACTTTATTGTAATTGTAATGGTAATAAACAATGATGAGAACGGTTAGGCCTACAGAAGGCTACCAAAATTTTTACAGGTTAAACAATAATCTTTTAACTAATTTATTTTATCTTCTTATTGAAAGCCAGGCTCTTGTGGAAAACAAGTGTACAACTGATTTTACTAAGGTACAAATAAGGCATATTTGACGAAAAACTCAAGAGCGGTTAATGAGATACATATTTTTGAATATTTAAAAACTTTGCTCT